GTGTGGGATCAATTTGGGCCAAAGGTGACGGGCGGAGCTAGAGAGTATGTGCGAGAACAGTCGAGAAGGTTCTACGAGAGCGCGTGTCCTGAGGCGGAGCTTGCTCCGCCGAGGGGGATATAAGGGGGGGCAGTGAGAGGACTCGAGGTCAGTGTGGGAAGCCTGGAGTCCGGACTGCGTCATCGCCACCCTCGACTCGCCACCGGCGACGTGGCAGTCCTTCCAGCGAAGTCGTCTCTCCTCCCGGCACACCGTCAGCCAGTGGTGGTCAGGGAGCGAGAGGGAGAGACGTGCGGCAACGGTGGAGCAGAGAGGGCATGCGTCATGGCAGAGGGAGAGAGTGGAGCCATCCAGAGAGAGAGTGGAGCTGTCCAGTCATATAATAAAGAAAGACGCCAGTCAACAGTTGTCGTGGAAGTGCTTTATTACACATTGATCCCCCGTCTATCCTTATGAGACTTTTGGGGCAAGTCCTGTTAGCGAGCACTTATTGTGGCCAGCACAGTACACGAGGGAGGACGTGGCCAACACCATGCACGATTACCTTTGTCTCCCCAATGGCAATGTTTACACACCACACCAGATACTCATTTGAGGCTGAGTCGACCTAGGGGAGGCCCAGGACTGGTGCAGATAATAGTCACTGGTGTCAGTATCCCTTGCAGTTTGCAAGGAATCCCTTGAAAAATTACTGTGTATCCAACAATTAAACTGATGATTATTGTGTGTGGTGTATCTCATTCGGATTTCACCTGGAGAAGTCAAGTTTATCTGTCTTGGGAATGAATTGCACACACGTGGCCATTTGTCTTAGAGGTCAGGTGATAACTATATCTCTGCGTGAGCAAACCACCCCTTCATTACTGGCTTGTAACATCTCACCTGGCACAAGGAAGAGAATACAGTGGTACCCCGGAGATCTAACTTAATTCGTTTCAGAAGGCCATTCAAACACCGATTTGTTCGAACACCGAATTAATTTTCCCCATAAAAATTAATGTAAATTACATTAATTGGTTCCAGACACAAAAAAATCTATCATAAAGCATTTTTACAGGAAGTTTACAGTAATTACATGCATAAAATCATACAAAAAAAACAAGAAACAATAAATAAATGGAGTAAATCAATAAATATATGGAATGAATGAATAAATGAACATTGAACTTCACTTTACCTGTAGTAAGGAGAGTTGATGGCTTGAGTGGAAGGTGGTGAGGAGGAGGAGGTGGTGATATTATTGTTTGGAAGGGGAGTCCCCTTCCATAATAACGTCGGGTAACTGCCCTTCTGAGGTTCTTTCTCTTTTGTGCCTCTTTTCTGTCACTAACTGTCGGTCACTTGAGCTCTTTCTGACTAAAAACGTATCTAAAGAGGTTTGTTTCTGCCTCCGTTTTAGGATGTTTCGAAATTGACACATTGCATTATAAATAAAAAGATTGCTCGCTCGGTTGGCTACTACCTTATCTGGGTTATATTTTTCTACAAAATTCTGTAACTCAACCAATTTTGCACACATTTATTTTATCACTGAACTAGGGGTATCATCCCTTCCCTCCTCCTCTGAAGACATTTCCTCAGCTACCGTCTGTTGCTGCACCTTTTGAAGGTCTTGGAGTTCCTCAGTGGTGAGGTCTGTGCTGTGGTCTTCCACCAACATCATCATCATCAGCGTCCAAGCCCATGGACTTGCCTAGAGACACAATGTTCTCGACCACAGGCTCAGGCTCAAAGCCTTCAAAGTCCCTCTCTGCTACACAGTCTGGCCACAACTTCCCCCAGGCAGAGTTCAGTGTTCTGGAAGACACTTCCCCCCAGGCTTTGTCGATGAGACAGACAGTGCAAAATGTTTAAATGGTTCTTCCAGAACTCTCTGAGTGTTAACTCAGTATTAGAGGTGACTTCAAAGCACGTTTGAAAAAGTGCTTTGGTGTAGAGCTTCTTGAAGTTGGAAATGACCTGCTGGTCCATGGGCTGGATGAGAGGAGTCGTATTGGGGGGCAGGAACTAGGCCCAAACACCTCATGAACCCACTCAATAAAAAATTGCCTGGTTACCCAAGCTTTACTGTTGGCCCTCCACATCACATTCAGCTTGTTCTTCATAACATTATATTTCTTGAAAACCCTGGGGTTTTCGGAATGGTAAACAAGTAGGGGCTTGACCTTAAAGTCCCCACTTGCATTCCCACACAGCAACAGAGTTAGCCTATCCTTCATAGGCTTATGCCCCGGCAAGGCCTTCTCCTCCTGGGTGATGTAGGTCCTCCTTGGCATTTTTTTCCAAAAGAGGCCTGTCTCGTCACAGTTGAAAACTTGTTGGGGAATAAAGCACTCAGCATCCACGAACTCTTTAAATTCCCCAATAAAATTCTTGGCACGTTCTTTATTAGCACTGGCACCCTCCCTATGCCTTACAACACTATGTATGCCACTTCTCTTTTTAAATTGATCAAACCAGCCTCAGCTAGCTTTGAAAATTTCACGAAGACCTGCATCATCACTCGTTCCTGGGGTGTTTTGGAGGCTGTCTAAATGCAACTGCTTGGCCTTTTCACATATCATAGCCTCTGAAATGCTATCACCCGCCAACTGTTTTTTGTTGATCCAAATCAACAGAAATTTCTCAACCTCCTCGATGGCCTTAGTTCTTTGTTTAGATAGAGATGACACTCCTTTGACTACATTAGCTTCTTTAATGGCTTCTTTATTTTTCAGTATCGTGCAGATCGTCGATTTCGGCATACCATACTGTTTGGAAATCTCGGTCACGCGGACACCTTTCTCTCCCTTTGTAAGGATCTCTTTTCTTCATTCTATCGTGGTTCTCACAACTTTCCTTTTTGGCTTATCACTACCAATAACCTTCTTAGGAGATATTGTGTATGGATAAACACCAAAAAACACTAAAATAAAATAAATTAACGAAAAAAAACGATGTTTTGCGGGTCTGCACTGGGTGAGAGCTACGCGTTAACTGAGCCTCTCATACGGTAAAACCTTTGTCTGGGCAAGCATCATGCACGCTGGCCATACGTGTCTCAGCCGAATTTCGTTTGGTTTCCGGGGCAAAAAATCTTCAGAAATATCGTTCGAACACCGATTTGTTCGAGTTCTGGTGCGTTCGATCTCCGAGTACTGTATATGATATGGTTGAAAGGACTCTGAGTGTAACACATGACTGGCAGGTCGAGCCACTTGCATGTGCAGCATCTGCCTCTGAACCAAGCAATCCATTTGTCCCAGGCACCAATGATGAATTGCCTTTTCACAGCTGCAAAACACTTGCCAGCATGTTCCTCATGTAGATATGGGTGCAGTAAGTACATATATGTACCCGTGTCACTGTCTGCATTTTAAGCTTTTATAAGAACATTTCTGTGCTAAGCTGACAGTGCGCATCAACTTGACAGCATGACCGATCAAGCCAAGCAATGGTAATGATGTAAAACTTGTCCAATTCCTCAAAAATGTTTAAGCACAGACATTTCATTTTTGCAAACAGCAATGATAACAAGGTCGACAAAAACAAAATATAGAAGAGAATGACAATCATAAAAGGTGGAAAATATCACGATTGCAAATGATGTGAACAAATAATTCCAGCAATGTAAAAATGTACTTGAAAAACAAATGACGGCGATGCATATTGATGATGACACTGTTAGAATGATGAACACATAAAACTAATCCATTTGTATGTGTGTGTACGTGGTAGTGTAGCGGTTAGCTGTAGTGTATAGGTTGTGGGGAGCGGTAGTGTAGTGGTGAGTGCACTGTGCTACAAACCCCCGGCGACCCGAGTTTAATAATTGTCACTGGTGATTCCCACTCACCAGTGACAATTATCTGAACCAGTCCTGGGCCTTCCCTGGGTCGACTCAGCCTCAAATAAGTACCTGGTGCAGTGTGTAAACATCGCCACAGGGGAGACAAAGGCGGGCAGCCGTGGTGTTGGCCACCCACCCCCTGTGTGCCGTTCCGGCCTTCATAGGTGCTGCTACTCGCTAACAGCACTTGCCCCAACCATCAGTTACAGGCTATACGGGGGATCTTTGTCGTTGTAGCGGTTAGCACACTATACGACAAACCTGGCGACCCAGGTTCGATTCCCGCTCATGGCCAACACCAGTGATGGTTATCTGAACTGGTCGTGGGCCTCCCCTAGGTCGACTCAGCCTCAAATGAGTACCTAGTGCAGTGTGGAAACATCCCCACTCGGGAGACAAACGCAGTTGGGCGTGGTGCTGGCTACCCACCCCCTCATGTAACATTCTGGCTTTAAACGGTGCTCGCTAACAGCACTTGCCCCAACAGTCTGTTAATAGGAAATACAGGGGATTGTTGTCTTAGTATTTGTGTCGTGGTTAGCATGCAGCACAATGAACCTGGTTTGCCTGTGTTAAATTTACGCTCACGGCCAACAACAGTGACGACTATTTAAACCGGTCATGGGCCTCCCCTAGGTCGACTCAGCCTCAAATAAGTACCTGGTACAGTGTATAAACATCGCCACTAGGGAGACAAAGGCGCCCGGGCATGGTGGTGAAAACACCAGCCCCTCATGTGGCCGTATTAGCCTTCACAAGTGCTCACGAACAGCATTGCCTGTGCATGCTATATGGGTTATCTTTGTCTTTCGTGTATCAGTGTGTACATGATTGACAGAATGAGAATCTTTATTTATACCGGAGGAATCTTACGAGCTATAAAGCTCTTTTTCAGATGTCTCTCAAGTGGCGATGATTGCCAAAGTATAGAAGAGCACAGTTTGTGCATCCTCTAATTATCTCAGTCAATGAAACCATACCATCTGGGTCTAGTTCCATAACTGCCAGCCAAAGAGCTTTCAATACTTCACATGGCCTAAAAGTGCAAGTAGCCTGGCACGAGCATCGTGGTGGCGTCTCCATCACTTAGGGGTGAAGGGAAACTGTTGTTATTGCCACTGCTGTGTACGGTTAGAGTGTTGGCGCACGTGTTGCTGTGCCCATGTCATACCGCGCTGGTCCGTGCACACGACACGCTGGAATTGGGTGCCTGCGCCGCACTTGGTGTTGGTGGGGATGCAGATGCTGACCTCGGCCACGCGCCAGCGGAAACAGCGTGCGCCCTCGCACGGCACTGCCTCCAGCAGGTGGGGACAGCCATCGGGTGCGCCACCAGCACCGATGGGGCCGCCCAGCACGCGCCGCGTGCGCATCATGAACCCTGGAACCGCACGTTGAGCACACACATGCACACATGCATATATATTAATACACAATTCAAAAATGCATCGCATATGTGAATACACACACACAGGTGCAAACACAAATACAAAGATCTCCAGTATAACCTTAACAGACTGTTGGGGCAAGTGCTGTTCGCGAGCACCTATGAAGACCGCCACGGCACACGAAGAGGTGGGTGGCCAGCACCATGCCCGGCCGCCATTGTCTCTCTTGTGGCGAAGTTTACACACCGCGCTAAGTATTCCTTTGAGGCTGAGTCGACCTAAGGGAGGCCCGAGACTGGTGAGCAGTTGTGTACTGCTGGGGGGAAATTATGATACCGTGGAATATAATTTCCCCTATAAAACACATTAAATGGCCTGTAAGCTGCGCTTACATGTGTATGCGTTGTATCATTGCCTTTGACGTCATGCAGCATGCTGCTTCCCAGAGTTATAGTTTGTTGCAACTTAATAAACCCACCAATCCATAAACACACACATTGACAGTGGAAGAATCTGTGTTACATGGGGCTTGGCCTTGCTGTGTATTCTAACTGAATTAGCAAATATTACATTTTTTGGCACTAAATCAACATATGCATGTGTACATGCGTGCATTATTCATGCAGTATATTTGATTTCCCACAAATGATAAATGACACAATGGGTGATATACTACTAAAATACCATATATTTTACACATTATCTTTGGATAACTCTATGGCAAAAGAAAAACATAATTATTTTGAGGCAGATAAAGAACCCAGATTTGGCCTCAATAGGCAGGTGCTGTGAGTAAGCACCGATTAAAGCTGACATGAAATACAAGGCAATGGTGTGGTTGACACCAAGTACACCTGATCGCTTTTGTAGCTCCAGTATTGACCAAGATAAGTTACCCATTTTACACAGCCTGAGTTGATTAATGAAGAGTCCCAATTCATAATCAGGTGGAAATTGCCATTGCTATTATAATTGTTATGAAGTCATGATCAGGAAACAAACTTTTACCACCAGCATTTTAACAAGGAACATCATGAGATGGCAACAGCTTAGAGAGGCCTTCAACCAGCAGTGGATTAATAATGGCTGCCAATCTTTATAAATGACATTAACCACGATAGCACCACTCTCCACATACATACATCTACAATAATCTTTCAAAGGATGATATTACCAACTGCTACATGATGGGATTGAAAGTCAAACTCTGAAAGGTCAATACAATATATAGCTGTCACTCTTCTCAGGAAGCACATTTGATAACTTTGAAGCCCAATGTTTCCTTTCATACATTTGTACCTTCGTTCATGAGAGGAACAAAACCGAAAGTATTTCATACATACGTACACACACACCACCTTCAATAACTTCAGCAAAGCAGCACATGGAGTGCAGGGCAAGATAAATTAAAATTCAGATGTCAAGACAAAGAGCGCAATTCACAAATTGTTAAATGTTCCCTGAGAACATTTAGCGTTGGAACTAAGTGGTAGGCACTGTTTGTTTTCCTTTTAGAGCCAAGGTTAGTTGTATCACAAACATTAATTACGTCCCTGCCACAATCACATGTCCTGTGCCCACATTGCCATGCGTTGTCACCATCAAACGTAACTTCTAGTGAAGAGGGAAACAAGTTGATTCATAATACATAAGTGTTACAGTGCATGTATTGCATATATGGAGTAATGTATTACTTTGTGGTGGTCATTGTATGGGCAAAACTGACCTCTGTCATGATGTAGAATGTTCACGATTGGCACAGGGCCACCAACATAACCAAAAATGTTGATAATGGAGCAAATGTTACTTTGTTGTGTGTGTAGATCAGTATCAGCATATATACTACACAATAGAATGCACTTCTGCATGCAGTACACGGTATATGGAACATGCAGGCCAAATTCTATTGTCTGGCTGACATGCATATGTAGTGGGTAAACAGGGAGAGCGAGACTTGCTGGAGGCAACACGTTTATTATAACTAAGGGTACATAACACAAAGGGGTAATGAACCCTTATACCATATATTCTAAGGAGGTAGCCCTTCCAGACTAATGTGCCCTCACTCTGGTTATAGCTCTACCCTAGACTGGTGAGCTCTGAACCCGACCCTAGCCAGGAGTTCAGGTTCTGCCCTTTGGGCTCTTCGCTTCAGGTCTTCAGAGTGGTTCTTCAGATCTCCATATCTTCAGGTCTTCTGGTGGACGATGACTGCCAGACCCGTTCAGAGGTCCGGCTTTTATACCCATTCCAGAGTCTCTCCGCCCCTAGCCACACCTTCTCGAACTCTCTCGGGGGCCCTGGAATGTAACGGCATCCCCCCCAGCCCCCCTCTTGGGGTCTGGGGTCCCTTGTGGCCCAACGGCCCGACTCATCCCACCTATCCTGCTGTTGCCCCAGTATACAGCCACTACACATGTTGCCTGTGCCTTTTAGTGTTCACCTCAATGACTGAATTAAATTCGTGAAGGAAATGTGGGGGAAGAGTGACAGCCAATATATGACCAGTCACACAGCATCAAACAAGCTCCAGGCGAGGAAATAAAGCCTGCCCCTGAATGACAACAGATGCAAAGTTGAATATGAGTCAACACGTCCTATTAAAAGTGTCCTTCAGTTGTTAACTAATGTATTTGCAGGAGTAAAGTAAATAAATACACACGGTACAAATCCTGCTCAACAGTGTGACACCTAAGGCAATGCACCACTGACTCTTGAACAATGGCCTTTGGGCTTCCACTGGCAACCTGGTCATTCAACAATTCACGTAATCCTTGTTTGTGGTCAGTTATCCAATTAACATGTATTTTGGCAAATGACACGTAAAAATAATAATCTACCTTTGCCTGTTTCATCATCAATCATAGTCTATCCAATGCTGAATGAAGATCTACAATCTATCTCACTCCTGCACATGATATGATCTCATTCATATCATGACACGTAAAAATAATAATCTACCTTTGCCTGTTTCATCATCAATCATAGTCTATCCAATGCTGAATGAAGATCTACAATCTATCTCACTCCTGCACATGATATGATCTCATTGCTCCATCTCTGTGGTGGTCATTCTCTTGGCGTGGGTGTGTTTTCCTCTTTGGCTGCCATTCCATGACCAGTCTTGTTCATTAGTCATCATCTTCTCTGGGTACTGTATATGTCCTGCTCAGCCCACTTTCTCAATAGTCAATATGTTATCCGTTATATGTGTTTGGGTTCTGATCCATGCATTCCTCCCTCTGTTATTCAGTGTAGTTGAAAGCATGTATTTTTCTTTGCAAACTTTCGGCTCAGCATTTGCTCCATTTCCTCTGTTATTGTTTATATTTCTGAACCATATGATATACCAGGCAGTAAGCAGTGATTAAAACGTATTTGTAATGGCAAAAAAATCCTTAAATAATAGCCCATGGTATACATTTTCTGCTGTGTTTTCCAATTGTGCCCCTTTAAAATGTATTTATTTTACTTAGCAAACTTGTACCTGACTTTCACTCAATATTTATTTTATACATTTTGGATACATTTCGACTATATTTTCCCAGCTGTAAAATGTAAATGCTGCTGAAAGTAGATTTGCATTTCACTTGCGAGGGAAGAGGAGGGTAACAAGTATGGAATATACTCCACCTTTTATAATCCATATGACCTGCGGGCCCAATGCAAGCAGATAGCACACTGCCGCGCATTGATGTGAACACTGCCTGCAGGGATAAACTTTTCCCTTCTCAAAATGAGCAAAGACGTGACAGGACAACAAGCACCCTCTTACACTAACTGGAGGATAACACTTTAAACTCTCTTGATTATATTCAGTAAAAACAAATACGTGTCGTGACATCGCTGGATGTCACCATGCTGTGGGTGCAGTACCAGCCCTAGAGGGGCACGGCGAGCGGTGTAGTGACATCGCCGGATACCACAATGTTGTGGGTGTAGTAACGGCCCTAGAAAGGCACGGTGTGCTGAATAATAGCGCTGGATGGCACCACACTTTAAGTGCAGTGCCGACCCCACAGGACAGGGTGTGTGGGTGCCGACCGAAGGATAGGGTTGTGTGAGGCCATGGCACTCTGGTTGACCCGGGAGGACACGTGACCGGTTAAGTTGACAGAGGGGCCCCAAGAGGGGGCTAGGGGGGTCACGTGATTGGGACCCAGATCCTTCCCAAGGATTCTAGAAGGTGGACGTGGCCAAGGGCAGAGCCGGCCACGCCACAGAGAATATAAGCCGGGTCCCGAGAGGGACCAGGATTGTTGTTATTGTTCATCCTGGAAGAAGCCCCTCGTCTACGATCTCCGTTCAACGAGTCTCCAACACGTGGACCCAGGTCGAAGTCATTGGTCCCGGTCTGCAGTAACAGTTATGTAGTGACTAGTGTGGTTAGCCGGGTGGTCACCACCTTAGGTTCTTATTCTGTTAAGGGGAAGTTACCCCGTGTGTTGGAACTGAATAAATGTGTTGCCTCTAAAGTCTACGTCTGCGCCTCAGTTGAACCCATTACACATGTGTAGTGGGTTCACGGAGGACAGAGACAGTGTAGTAGAGGCAGCACTATTTATTTCAACTTGGCAGGGTTACACTGAGAAGGGGTAACGGCCCCTTCACTCGTATTCACACTGGGACATCCTCTAGGCTAACAGCCTAACTATTATACTCCCAGGTCCTCCGCTACAGGCGCTAGAGGAGGCTATCTGACCTGGCCCTGGTCATGGCACAGGTCACGGCACCCATCCAGACAGACCGGCCCTTAAAAGGACTTCGGCTCTGAGGCTCTGGGGCCGCACTACTGCCTTGCCCTGCCCGGCCCTTAAGAAGGACAGCGGGTCAAGGTAGTCCCAGGGTCTATCTAGCCGGTCTTCAGTCTTCACTGGTTCTTCGCTCTTGGCTTCCCCAACACACTGCTTCGAGCGCTCTGGCTCCTCGCCTTTTATACCAATTTGCCACCGAGGGGCGGGGCTGTGAGGGATCGAAACATCCCCCCGCAGCCCCCTAGGGTGGTGGCTGTAACGGACGTGTTTGTGGCCACCGCTATGTAACTGTGTGTTTCCCTCCCACAACACCCCTACACATGTAACAGCAGTGGTACATCATGGCTCCTGTTTGAGAAGTCAACACAATTCACTGCAATCTTCCTAGTTTCTAATGAGATGTGATGGTCTAATGTGATAACTGCCTTGCGGGTAATGCACCAGTGCTGGTTTGTCACCTGACCCATTCTCTGGGGCACCCACATGAAATTCAGTGTTATTTTTCAGGAAAGAAAAACCCTGATTAATTCTTTAGCGGTGCATTTTAAATACTCAATTAAACCATCTGTACACATTTATCTAAGACTGAAAATCTAAGGTGGAATTTGTTGTCTCCTCAAACTGGAGCCACAAGCCACCAATGTTGAGTAGTGGTGGCTTTTGGCAACAGTGAATGTTCAAAATACTATTGTCTGGGCAACCCTGCAGCCCAACAATCAAATTCCCTGATGATATTATCTACTTACATGCAGAACATTTTTAAGGCAATTTATATTTACATCACACACTGTAATATAGTGTGACCTTTAAGGTTAAGTTACAGCAGGCTTAAAGTATAGCTTTGTCTCTGCTAGATTAATGTATTGGCGGCTGTATGAGAATGTCTACAGTTTGTAATAAAGAGCGGACAGCGAGGTCAGTGTTTCCACGTCAAAGTGCTCTCTGGCATGCTGCAGCATAACACCCACAGTGCGGTGCACAAGGATGGGCATCCTGCTGCCCTCCACAAAGCCTCAGCACATCTCTGCTTAACACAGCATTGAGTCATTTTGCAAAGTCGACGGTGGAAAAATAGCTCCATACTCCATCCCCAGATGGCCGAGCAGCGTCACAATAATGTGGAATGCGCAGACAGGATTGAGCACCACTCATTAGATGCTAAATGTGGTGTTCTTGTCGAAGGCGTCACCAACGTTAAGGGATAAGGGAGTAATTTCCGGGGAGATAATGTAATAGCCATCGAAGCAATTTTCAAAAAGTAACAATTAATCTGACAGAAGAGAAAGGAGTTGCTTGCAGATGTGAGTAATATTCGCCGAGGACCAGCACCGCATGCCAAGTGAGTGGCCATGAAGTCGTCGCTCTCCAGCGCCACGGAGCCTGGTGTAAATTTGAAACCTGTGATGAATGCCGAGCTCAGCGTGCCAATTCTGTACACACGGTTGCAAGCTTTATGCAGGCAGCCAGAGGGGGAGGTACCTGCAAAGTTTTTGGGAGGTGGCACCTGGTGAAGCGCTTGGGTAAAAGAGACAAACCGCATTTGTGCCGTTGCGATAGAGTTTTGTAAAATGTGTTTTGTTTACATATGTAATTGTTTTTGTGTCAGCAATCGTGTATAGTATTGGACTAATTGTACAAGTTTTGTGACAAAAAAAGTAAGAAAAGCAATACACATTACAGCTAGAAGCGTGCCTTTACCCTGAAAAAAGGACTGTATTTATATAAACTTGTCTGCACGCTCCATGCCCACATGGCCATGCGAGCACATGCATGGGTACACGGGCACAACACATACACCCAGAGGCCATAAACCCATTTCAGAGGCAAAAAGACCACAGATGACATTTCCACCCTATTGCAGTCAGATTGACCACATCAAAATGAGGCTCTTCCCATAATTGGTTCATGATAAGCTGAGGCTGCAGGATCAATGGCTATAGATTAAGGGTTAGTGTTAGGGCAGGGGTATGAAAATGGTTAGTGGACTAGCATATCTGACATCGTTGACCCTATATGTTCCCAAGAGTCAGGGCATACAGATACTCTACAGGAGGATTGAATGGTGTTGAAAGGTGGTGGGCGAAGCTCTTGGTTAGCATCGATGCTGAACAAACAGCAGAGGACCCACATAATCAAGATTGCTCCTGAGGTCTAATCAGTTTGAAGAGGTAGCCATCTGCATTATGCTCGCATAATTCGTTCCGGAAACACATAATTCTTTCCGTAAAGACATTTAACAAGGTAATGTAACCCAGAGAGTCGGAAATAACTGTAGGATGGAAGCACTGCAGCCAGTTATGACTTTACCTGGTTAATAACGTCCTTCCAATGATTGCTTAGTTTGTACCCATCTTCTCGGTTGAAATTGTGTCTGTGTTTATATATCTAGATGGCTTCATGAACAAATCTTTGATGATAGCCAGTGGGTTTTCATAGTACCTTCGTCTTGGCGAAATCAATTTCAGGTGTGCCCACAGCGTTAAAACAATGATCAGCCACGGCAGAGGTGTTGGTCCTACCATGTTTCAGATCCGCCTTGTGTTCACGGACACGGTCTGAGACATGTCGCTTAGTTATATGAACACGTGTTTCCTTTAAACAGGAGGTTATGTTGGAACATGTATTAACCATACATGTCTGAAATTAACTAGTTCATACAACTCAAACAGGTGAAAGCTAATACATACATATCCCAATGTACAAACAGGTTGTTTATAAAAGTAATTGACAAATACAATTTCTGTGTCCAGTCATTAGTTACAGAGACAAGCCTGAAACTTGTTAACGCATGCATGCTCATCAGATGAATAATGTATGGGTGAAGGAACAGCCCGTCTCATCCCTATCCTTCCAACCACACGCTACCACCACCACCGCCCGCCACCACTTCCACGAGGCCCTTCTTGTGCTCGGCACGGACGTGTATAACGGTGCACCCAATTCCCCACCGCAATCTGCTCTGGATAACAGTGGCAATGCTCGGGAGGCCACCTGCCCCCGTCAATCAGTGTGGTGGTGCATCACTCTGACGCGGCATAATAGGAGGTGATGTGTTGCCGAATGGTGCGCGGCGAGCCACGTTTGTTTGTCTGATGGGTTTGAGGACGCGTAATCTAAAATGCATTACCTTTTGTCTGAGAGGTTTGATCGACGATCAACGAAGAGATTTTTCAGGGTTCTTGGTCCCCAGAGTGACTGCTTCCAACGTCAGTCCTCTTACCTATGCACTGCTGCCCTCAACCCCTATCCTTATCGCATGGCCATTGAGCATTCACTTAAAGAACGATTGCAAGAAGTGTGTCCGTGGTGTTGACGAGAGCACTGCCAGCGCCGCCACTGTGGCATCGCTTGTCGTATGCGAGTCGTCAAATGTGCACAATAGGACATTACCAATACCCCACGCATGGGCGCCCCTCCCACCCCCACCATTGTGCATACGTCACCATGTACCTGTGGTGGCTGTGGGCGGCGTGCAAGTCTCGGGCACACAGGGTCCCCACGCGGACCAGGCAGACAGGACACACTCGTGCGGACAGGGCTGCTCGCATGGTCGCGTCGACTCCAGTGGAACCAGCTCAGGACACAACCCAGTCTCTACTGGCCTGGGGGCTGGCCCATGGGGGTGTTGTAGAGGAAGGGAGGAGTTTTGTAGGGGGTGGGGGTGGAGACAACCATTGCAAGGTAAAGTAGGGATAGATGGTAGGGAGAAAATATGCAGTGGACACAAAACTAAAACTAAAAAACTAGACAGTGGCCTACATTACCCTGGATGTAACCATTACCATACCTTATAAGTACATAATTCGTTTGAACATTAAAGCTTGCATTTTTTTTCACAATTCTGATTGGGTAAGGTTGCTGCTCATTGTGCCACATTTGGGAATTATTCCAACTCCTATCTCACCTCCCAGCTGTCTTCCAAGTCCGCCCGCCCCATACAATCCAAATTTACATCGATTACGATCTGCACACGATGCTCATTGCTGTGCCATGAAAGCGCCTGTGCACAACATTATTATTACGACATGGGTGTGCAGAGAATGGCTGTGTATTCAACGCATTCTCTGACTGCGGCTTTGTCGACTACGGCACCCATGCCTGGAGACCCACGCGTGCACGCACAACCTTGCATTCCTCACAGCTCCGTGCCGTCACACCCCATTGATTGGCACCTTTACAAACATTCATTTATTTCAAATGACGCAGAGTATGGGGACGCAATGATTCAGCGGCAGTTTCGTGAGTTGAGATGAAAATTTTTTCCCTTAACATGTCACTTCACGGTGTGTGCCACTACAATTACTTTTTCCACATCCACCCTCAATGAATAAAAAAATGCCCCCAAGGACAAAATGTATTACACATAGACAGTGCAGTATGGTAAAGGTAGTGAAGAGGAAGATTGAAGCTCCCTCTGATTAGATGAGAGGTAGATATACAGAGAATGGTGGAGATTATGAATAACTCCCAAATTCACCTTGGAAGTTCCTCCAGCCCAAACTACACCCAACCTTGGTCACTTTCCTTAATCATACCTGCTGGTTCCAGGGGCAGTGACAGCAGTGGCTGTGTGGTGGGCATCCCTCCCTCTCCAGCTCGCTGGCCTGCCCAAAAGTGCACAGACAAGCATACACAAAAAAAATCTGCCATATAGCCTTCAACAGACTGTTGGAGCACATGCTCTTCGCGAGCACTTATGAAGGCTGGGGGGAGGGTGGCCAGCACCATGCCCGGCCACCTTTGTCTCCCTCGTGGCAATGTTTACAAACCATATCAGGCAATCATTTGAGGCTGAGGCGACCTATGGCAGAACTTGTCAGATAATTGTAACACACATGCAAGACAAAGATCCCCCCTGTAGTGCTGTTAACGAGCAACTATGAAGGATGGCACGGAAAATGAGGGGGTGGGTGGCCAACACCACACCCGGCCGCTGTTGTCTCCCCAGGTACTCATTTGAGGCTGAGTCGACCTAGGGAAGGCCCAGGACCGGTTCAAATTATCGTCACTGGTGTTGGCTGTGAGCAGGAATCGAACTCGGGTCACCGGGTTTGTGGCGCTGCGCGCTAACCGCTACACTATCCCTGTGTGTGTATATTCACAAGCAAATACACATGCACAAACGAATACAAAGATCTCCTGTATAGCGTTGACAGACTGTTGGGGCAAGTGCTGTTAGCGACGAGCACCTATGACAGCGGGAATGGCACACGAGGGGGTGGGTGGCCAGCACCATGCCCGGCCACTTTTGTCTCCCTAGTGGTAATGTTTACACACTGCACCACGTACTCTTTTGAGTCTGAGTCTACCTACGGGAGGCCCAGATAATAGTCATTGGTGTTGGCTGTGAGCGGGAATCGAACTCGGGTGGCCGGGTTCATAGCGCAACACGCTAAGCACTACACCAGCATTCCCCACACACCACACATGCACATATACTGTATATGCACACAAACGACAGCAGCTACAATTCACTTCTGATGCCTCTTTTAGTTGACACTGTGAACCGGCCATTACCTGTACAGGAGTGAGAGAATAAAGACGAGAATGCTGTACCAATATTAAGGGAATTAAATTGGTTTTGAGTAAATTTCACATCAAAGTTTAAAATTATGTTCATGGCATTAAGTGAACCTGGCGTCCCCCGTGTTTTGATATAGTGCACTGACAACAAATTCAGAACATCACGTATAAAAAACAAAGATCCCCAGTGTAGCCATACAGACTGTTGAGGCAAGTGCTGGTAACGAGCACCACAACAGGATGCCTTTGTCTCTTCAGTGCTGATGTTGCACACTAGACCAGGTACTCAATTATGAGCGAGTCTATATAATGTTGTCAAACAGACCTCTATGACTGATGCGGTGTGCAGAGGCCTTCACTCAGCAGTGGACTGGCAAAAGGCTGTACATTTTAAAAAATAATTCAAATTAGTGGACATCGAAGATGTTCTGATGGCGCTTTCCAGTGATGTTAGCCAACAATCTATTCAATTCGTTGGGCTCATATCGTGCACACTAAACACTATGCCGCTGCTCCCCATATCTGTGTACGTATGTGTGTGTATGCATGCATGGTAGGGACCGGTAGTGTAGCGGTTAGCGTGCTGCGCTATGAACCCTTTGACCCGAGTTCGGTTCCCTCTCACGGCCAAAACCAGTGACGATGCTCTAAACCGGTCTCGGGCCTCCCCGAGGTCGACTCAGTCTCAAATGAGCATCTGGTGCGGTGTGTCGTAAACATCGCCACTGGGGAGAAAGAGTTTGGTCAGGCTATAGGGGGGATGTTTGTCTTTGTATACGTGCACTATACACATACAATGGAATGGGAGAAGGGTCAGATGGGGGTGTGGGGGAGAAGGGTTGGGGGTGGGGAGAAGGTGGTGGATGGCGGCAGCAATCAGGCTCATTAACGAACAGCCCGCAGGGGACCTAAACATTACAGCCACACCATGGCCTCTTATCAACATGATGGAACTGTGAACACATGAAATTTTATTTTGTGCCAATTAATTAGTGTAATTAATCACAGCAATTTAAAAGATGAAGATGTTTTTTGCACTGTGAACTGTCCAAACTGGAAACAAAATAACACTAAAAGTTGTCCCACTTGTAACAAAAGTTTGTTATAATTAAATATTAATGTGTGAGCTGTTAATTAACTTAATATTTGGTCATGGTCATGCATCAGTAGGGCAGCTGATGTCAGTTGTCAAGAAAAAGGCCAAAGTTACATCCCTCAGCATTGTTGCCTTCTCTTCTAATTTGGCCATGTTCCAAATTACCACATTAATGTGGCAGTTACTCTCGAAATCGAGCTCCTATAAACGTGAACTAAGGCTATCTATTAACAATAACAACAACAACAATCACGAGTAAAACTGTATTTAAAATGCTTGCAATCATTTTTTCCTCACTTTCAAAAAAACCTGTGCTGCGTGCACCATCATCAATGAACTACAGGTACCCCGTTAACAAAGCGGTCCCACTGTGAATGCAGTCAGGTGGTAAAACCCAACATCGTACAAGCATGCCACACGGATGAATATTTAACATGTCTCAAAGAACCTGCCCACTGTTAAACTTATGCCGTGTTTACACATCAGCACCTTGCAATAAGTAAAAAAAGTCAGCCCAGCATAGTGCTTTTTGGGAGATATTAACACACATTAAGTATAATAATGTGGAAATAGGCATGGCTATCAGACAAAGAACGGACAGCTGGATTGAAAAAACGAGAATCCAAGGCATCACACTCGCTACTATCATTAATAAATAGATGTGGTTGCGTGGATGAAGAATAACTGATGGGAAAACCTACAGTGAAGGAAGGTATAAAACAAGACAAAGAGACAATCTTGGAATGATGAAAATCAAGGTGTGTGGGAACATGACATTTTAAACATACAGACCATGGCATTAGCATGGTAAGGCATGCGTGTATATTGCTACTGTTGCTGGGTGAGAGCTCGTTAATTTGTATATTATTGGTTTTCTACACAGGACCTGCTACCGGCAGTCATGTAGAATGATTTGTTAATGTTTTCTAATCCGTTGCAGAAAATGTTTTTGGCATAGTGATACAACACTGACTGACACAGGTGACATCACAACGTCTCTATTACTGGTATTGCAGCATTTGGTACATATAGGGAATTATCCCAATAAATTACTGGGCTGCTGCAGAACTCAAATGATTCCATGCAATCTGGTAACTGAGCTATCAATTATTTAAGCTGCTGTGGTGATTTTGATAATGATCACACCACTTGCTACATTTGTACGTTATATTTAAAACAAATATTTTCGTGAATTAACTTCATGATTCTTATTAGAATTATGACCTTCGGCAAGGAACCTTGTCCTGCATTTTAAATATTGCACAATATCAGTGGCCATGCAAACTACATTCAGGCCCTGCAGCAAAAGGTCCGACAATATGGATGAGGATACGCCTGCTGATGATGATGTTGCTGATGGTGATACTAACGTTTGTTGTTACGAGCAAAGCAGTGGACGGACAGACCAGCGGGGTGTTTGAATGGGTGAGATTGCGCACCAGTCCTGGAGGGTGCGTCCCGTAGTCCCTTCAAGTATGAGAACACATTGTCGTCGTCCAGAGAGCAGTAGATGTCGCGCACCTGCACCCCTCCACCGCACCACGCCGTCTGGTTTCCCCAGCAGCGTTCGTGCTGGTCCAGCAAGGGACCCACGGTGCACGCAGCCCAAGCTCCACCCCTCCAGCGGTATCTGGAGAGAATGCGCGGGTGCACACGTGCAAGCATGCACGAACATATAAGCACACGGGTACACACACATGAACATCAACAACAATTACCATTCGCCAGACTAAGTGACAATGATGTCATAACATCGTTTGTGCCCGGCCAATTGCACCATGATAAATAAATGGGTCCTGTAATTGGATGATTGGCCAATTTTGTTCGTTAAGTGTTTTTAAAAATGACAGCTGCCGAGAACTATACTACAATGAAAGTGATAAAATCCAGCTAAATTTTCAAGAGGCAAAGGGTACGTTTTGACGACGAAAATTACGACAGAAATGAGATTCAAATGTAAAAATTCTAAGTGAGGAAATGATACGTGCTGTACTATTTTGTCCAGTCATATCAAATTAAGTAAGTTTTTCTCATGCATGTACATTTTTATTCTGCATACAAGTCTTTTCAAAGGCCTCGGGCTAAAATACTGTAAATGCAAAAAAGAGCTGACTTCTGAAAAAATTATACGATGGAAGTGCACAGGAGGTGGTGAAAAGTGTATTACTTGATGACCATCACCATTGGCTAAATTTTCCCAATGACATATGTTCTTCGAATTAGTGACATTATGTATTCCATTACTTGAATATTTATACCGTATTCATATTGAAGTCTTTAAGGCTGAATGTTTAGCTGTTTTCTCCTATTAAAATCTAATTGCACTATTGGCGTCATATCATGAAAAACATCGAATTCAATTCAGAAATCTCCCAGCTAGCAGTGCATCACGCTGTGGTCAGACAATCACACTACTTCTGAGGTGATTATAATAGTCCTTGTCAATCAAATAAAATGTTAATTATGATAGCTGCAATTTAGCCAAATTATATAAAAAACAATTAAATGTGACGAGTTTTTTGTGATGTAATGAGTGAAAGGGCAAAGAGCATCAACTCACAACACCAGTTAAATCACAAGTAGTTGAAATGTAGATTCATCACAGGCTCGTCACCGGTGATAGCTTCGTGTTCAGTTCCTGAGCTACCTGGCCATCTCCGAGATATCATGTAAAATATAATTAAAACTGGTCAGAATACATTTGGAAGGATAAGGAATAGTTGACAAATGGAATATATAAAAGGTAATGCAACAACTTGTTTGCGGCACTGCCAGTGGAAGAATCTCTATTCGAGGGTGTTCTAGAGAGTTTTGCTAGATGGTACTTGGCTTACTCTTCCACGCTTGGCAGTCGTATTGGAAGAGGTGTACCATTTACCACCCTACACACAACTTGCCAATCGACTGTGGTGTTATCTATTTATACTGCTGATGCAGGGGAGGGTTTAAGAAACATGTCCATTCAACTGCCATGCTGGGATATCTATTGCCGGTGACCTCTGAATTGCACATGCTGCCATGGTTAGCACATGAACACATCTGTGCATGTCATATTTTAAATACCAGTGAAATATACTGAAATGTTTTTTTCCTCACACAACACGCACAAGAAGTAGGTTGTTGAATTACTCAGCATGCTTAAGTGGCAGGATATGGTTATATTCCATAGCGGGGGCACATGGAACACTTCCAGATATTGAGACCGTTGTATTTGGTGCTATTGTTGTTTTGTCTTTGAGCATGCATATTTGCAGATTGAAGGGGGGAATCACGGGTGTGATTGTTTGTGTTTTAGTTTATGTGTATGGACACGAGTTGGGACGAGGAGTGTGTGTTATAAATTATATGTGAGAGCTTGTGTTCACTATTGCATTCTTCTTGTTCAAAGGGCACAGCAGTTTACTGTTTTTAATGGAATTTTGTTATTTTATATCTACGTGACTTTACTGAAAGAACCAAAGAATATGTTTTTAATGGGTTAAAGTTCTGTAATGAAAAGCCATGCAAAGCAACCTGTGTTTGTGTACGTACGTGTTAACATGCATGCACGTGTATATTTGTGTGTGGTCATGTGTGATGATGTACGGTATGTACGTATTTATGTACACCTATGTTGGTGTATATGTGTGTATCCATGTTTTATTTACATCGCTTGTGTGTACTTGCAGATGTGTGTCATTATGGTCAGCACAAGTGCTGTGGTGATATAACTGGAACTTATTGTAACATGGCAGTTGTTAATGCTGTTTCAGGCACCGTCTTTGTACGTGTTTGTTCTCACATATACAGGCGTCCCTCGCATGACGCACAACATATGTTCCTGAAAAGCAGCGCCTAAGTCGAATCACGCTGAATGAAGCCTTTTTTCATAGATATACATGTTATAACGGGGGGTGCGTTATGAAATAATTATTACGTATCATTTCACTTAATTATTTTAGCCCTGGATTTACAAAATATGTATAACTGGAATACTTAATAACAATAACATTACAAAAATACTTAGTAAGGAGTTTAACAACAAATACACGTATTTAAAAGATTACTACTTGCAAAGACAAGTTCATAAGAAGTAACTTCAAGGCTTCTTGAACGCTTCTGTGGGCTTCTTCACTCGTGGAGGGTTGTGGGCTGATCGGTGCTGGACGTGGCGTCGCCCACGCGCGTTTTAAAAAATGTTTTTGTTTTTTTCTTGAGCGCATCACTGTGAAATGCATAGCATAAGCGTGATGTCCCTAAAAGATAAATTGTGTAACTGCAAATTCACGCTATGGGGGAGCGCGTGACGTGAGGGACGCCTGTTCTGTATGTCTCTTTAGTTTGCTGCTGTGTGTTTTCATGTATTGTGTGCACGCACTTTTCCTCGTTGCTGTATGTGTGCGTATTAATCCACATTTTGCTTGTGTGCGTCTCTGTACCGTGGACATGGGGGCAGAATCCCATTTATGCTGCCCCCACATGCCTCCGTCTCCTGGAGAGATGGGCAGCCCTTGCCCCCGGCCAGAGCTGGATGCTGCACCGAGCGAATTCGTGTCCTCAGTCCTAGTCCAAAGGACTGGACCTGCCCGTGCCCTTGGTTGTGGCCCTGCCCTGAGCAGGTGACCGAGCAGGGAGACCAAGCCGACCAATCGCCGACATCGCAGTCCCTTGGGAGAATGCACACCTCCTCCATGGAGGGCACCGCCATGAGCTCGCGATTGCACAGCCTGTCGGGTGCAACAGCATCCTTGTTACGCAATGAACAACAAACTATTTCATGCCATTTGGCCTCCCCAGGGACAGACCCCCAGTGTCTTGCTCTGGTGCTGGGCACCCACTGAGGCCCTCCCAAAAGTGAACAATCCAAGATCGTTTCCTCCAAGATGTCTTCAGCTAAAAACTGGAAACCTTATGAGTGTCTTCTCAAGGCCTATATTAAATGTGAAGCCCTGCAATTGCTTGCATCACACCAATGCTGGCGAGAGGGCATCCACGAGAGAAAACTCTAGAGAGCCGCTTGAGAGGATGTTTTGGCCTATCCACACTTTACACCACCACATGCGACCTTCGGATTGACTGGTCTAGCCATTTATACTACTGGGGTAGAGAGAGGTGGGGGGATTTAAAACATTTGCACAGTGCTTCACCTGCTGTGCCAGGAGATTGGATCGACGGACCTTTGGATTGCAAATACGTTGTGCTAGTCATTACACTGCAGCAGCATGCCTCAAGGTCTATGCAGCCTGAAATGAATGCCAAATGATGACTTCCACAAGGAAGGCTCATCAGGGAGTGATTGTCAAGTAACGCTCGCCAACCAAAATGAAAAGCAGCCATAAATTGGTAATCGTCGCAACAAGCACAGCTGCGGATTAAACAATGGCGGCTTATAGCCATGTTGGTCCCTCTCACACGTGATGGTGCAGAAGACAAATGCACCATCAACACTTGCCCCCAGGGCTGGCACAAAGTTTACCGTTGCCCTCAATGGAATTTCCAGATGCAGACCCTGTTCTGTGTTGGTTCGAAGAAAATGTTGAGGGGGGGAGGGAGGAAGGGCAGTCGGGGAGGGCATGGGAAGGAGGGTAGTAGGGAGGGGTACTTCTGAAATACGTTTTGCACTCCCCGTATTTTGCGCCAGAGGAAACAGCCCACAGTGCGTCACCTACTCCTAACACCGCACTGTTTGGCCCTAAAGTCCACCTGCATAATGGACAGTTATATGCATCTCTTGCTTAGCCTAAAATATTACCCGTAATAATTTGCCTACACAGTGACTCAAGCATGTTGCCTGGCACAACTTTTGATCTAATGCTTACATCCAAGCTGTGTGAGCTCACTTTATTGCTTTTGTTTCTAATTTTCTGACTGCTGGATCAGTCTGCCTTAACTGCAAATGAGGGAGTGACCCTCGGTGGTTATGGTGGTATTGCTAATATGTTTAACTGCAGGAGGTCCACACACTCATTATATCAGGTTTTTCCACCAGCAAATATAACTGACAACTGCATGACGATTAAACATGGGCACAGAGGGCACATAACGTCAGTGGAATCACCTTGGCAGCGTGTTAAAATACACATCATGTTCATTTAATGTTAATGAAATGCATAATTTTCCGACTCAATTAATACACATAGCTCATTTACTTGTAGGAAATTGATAAAACTGTTGACAACATGTTTTGTTGTGAGCGTGCACAATATATTCAATATACAGAATTACTGAATCCTATGTAATTTGGTTGACAATATAGGTCAACAAGGATTTTGAAATGTTCCACCATGGGTGTTTTGAATTTTAAACAATTTTATAAAAACCAAAGTACTTTGTTCATTAAATATGCAACTTCAGTTACAAATTTGGACCATATGCTATCAATATTTCTGGTATGCAATGAAGGTCATGATATTAATAGCCAAATTAACCATGATCTAGTTCCTGGTCAACAGAAATACGAATTTGATTACAACATTGCTTCCAACCAATATATTTCAGCATTAAAAAAATAAACAATCGGAGTAAATGTGTAATGTCAATAAACTCACAACTTAACAAAAAGTCTGGTTTACTCAATGTACGAAAATCCTAGCCATCAAACATATACACAACATACACACACGTGCGCACAAATACAAATGTCCTCCATGTAGCCATATTTACTGTTGGGGCCAGTGCCACGGTGCACGAGGGGGTGATATGGCCAGAATCATTCCCGGCCTCCTCTGTCTCCTCAACACTGATATTTACACACACCAGCTATTCATGTGAAGTTGAGTTGACCTCGAGTATCATTTATGATAACTACTCGTCATTGATGTTATCCATGGCCGGCAATCGAACTCAGGTCGCTGAGTTCATAGCACAGCGTTTTAACAACCGCTCACCATGCAAACGCACACAGATACTCTCTCACTTGAATACATATACACACACATACACAGAGGCATGCGGAGATACAAAGCCACAGAAAGATACAGATGGAAAGAGAATTGCATTGCCCCTGTTATGGTTTCCTCATTTAGTTTAATTGAAGCATCAGGGAATCCACAAAGCATAACGTTAACAGCATCAACATAACACCAGCGTAACATGCCAACACAGATGACAAAATCCATACATGATGGGCCAGACAATAGGACAACGCAGTGAGGGGAGGAGTCAGGGAGTGTGTAGATGCCTGAGGTCATGGAACGGTGGAGGGGAGAGGAGAAGCCAGCAAAGGTGCCAAAGAGAATGAAGAGAGAGGAAAAAGCAGCGTGGGGAAGGGCAGGTTCTGAAAAAAACTTTAGAAATTAGCTCACGGGGTGTGATCTTTAGAAATGTGCGCACACACATATACACAGACTGAAGGCATAGAGGGAGGAATAGAAAAGAGTGAAAGAGAGGGAAGAATATGGAAAGGGAGGGGGATGGCAGGGAAGGGTGGGGGATAATACATTTGAGGAATGGATGCTGCAGAGGGATGCCTTGAGCTACGAAGAAGCAAGAGGAGGGGTTGGAGAACTGAGCGACGGGAGGGAGGGGAGAAGGAGGCAGTGGGTTGGAGTCTAAAAAATTTGTAGCTCACGGGATGGTGTGCTGTAAAGCATCGTCATGCTCACACTATCTAACAGAGCTGTCCCCTTTCTCTTTCTTGTGTACATGCACGGCATGCGCAGGAGAGACAGCAATGGGGCTGGAATGCTAAACGCTGCTCACTGCCAGATAAGCCTGGTGGTATTGCCTTTTTTTCTCCAAATAAAATGTCTGAGTTTTGCAGTAACATTTTAAAAAAACCTCTTAAATGATATAATTGAACAAAATAAATGTTACGGATATCTCTTGAGTATGGAAAAGCGATGTTACAGTGACATTCTATTATTTTTTACATCAATTCCGATGTTCTTTCAGTGATTTACATCATGAAGGGATTTGAAAATAACATCAGTGCAAGATTGTCTTCTAACCAAGCTGAGAGGTGACGTCTACGCAGAAACCGCAGTATGACAGAAGAAAGATGCTAGCCAGACGTCACAAATCCTGTGTTCAATTCTGGTCAGTCCAAGTGCCCAAGGGTTGACCACAACCACCATGATCAGCGTGTGCTGCCTGTTGTATATGGGCCTTTTTCCACAATGAATATTAATATTTGCCGATATATTTTTTTAATAATAATCGATAAATAAATAAATAAACACCCTCAAACCGACAAGAACCGACACCCAGAATAAGCAGCTGGAGGTCGTAAAAGGCCATTAAATAATAAACTCCGGGGCAAAGGGAGGTTAACGACTATCTGACAAATCTCCAGATTGCCAAAGAACAGTTCACAAATAAATACCCAGAATTACAGACACGGACACAGAGCACAGGGCAAACGAACATTATAACTGATATATATTTTTTCGTCACGGAAAAAGTTAAAGCTTGGCTATAAGAATAAGTATATATTAGTGGCTTTATTATTACTTATTTTATTTCACCCTTATTCAACTGACATATTGTTTCTTATTGTATCTTCTATCTACGTGACTTTACCAAGAGAACCAAAGTACATGAGTTCCTGCAATCACGAAAGCTTAAGTCCAAACTAAGCTATATATCCAACCTCCGGATATCGGAAATAACTCGCGAATAAACACCGACCCATGGCGACACGGACTGAGAACAAAGCTTAGCAAAGCCCGGAATCATGGTGGTAACATCTAATGGTACATTACAAATCTTGGTTAAACATAAACCAAATAATAATCACAAGAGATTAGACCTGGGGTAATTCAGTAGAGGTACAAGAAATAGGTCAGACACACAAAGACCAGATAAATGTATTCCATGAAATCAGAGCCTCCCCGGCCGTCTTTGTCTTCCAACGGTTTGACACAAACATATGGTAGCCATAAAATACGCATGAAGGAAGAGTGCCTCCCCTCCCTAATAGGAGAAACCACGAAGAGAGGGATTGGGAATGCAAACAAACAATGTGATGGTAAAACAGTCAGTCAAAGGTCAAAAAGGGAGGGGGGGTGGCAGTCAGGCCGCTGCTGCTACAGGAGGAGGATGGTGACAGAGGGCATCTGTTTTTTTTCTCTCTCGCAAGAGACGCAGAGAGAGGAGAGAGAATTTCACATTTCTGCTCGTCAATTCAGCTCATCAGCGACCAGTCGCAGGAGACGGCGACCATCAGCTCAGAAGAGGACAGCAAGCCAGCCCCCGGGCATGGCATCAAGATCAAAAATGCGTGTGGTGCATCGCAGAGAAGAGGGGCGAGGTGATGTTGGGTGCTGAGTTCGGCATGGACCGACAGTATCGCTGAAAGTTTATTCTACATTCATCCTGATGTTCTGAGTCGCTTGCAGAATCGAGGATTGCGATAAGCTGTATCGTACTAAGCTATCAGAGTTGTGTAAGAGGTGTGCAAATACAATTTTAAAGTTTTGAGAGTGAGCGACAATTAAACTCAACAATTCAGCTCGACAAGGGACAGCTCGGCGAGCGACAGAAGAGGGTGGCGAGCGGCAAGCTCCGGGGTGAGACTCTGCAATCAACCAGGGATGGGGAGACTTGCCGAGTAGCGATGTGTCACCGAACACGAGTTTACAGCTGACAGAAGAAGTATGGCTCAAAGTCATTCTATCCTGAGTGCCAGCTCCCACCAGCAGCTTCACCGAGCAAGGGTGTCTGCCACCAGCGAACGAACTGCACGCGCAATTGGGCATCGACAAGAGCACAAGGCAGGAGGGAGCGC